CAATCTCGAGGGCATGGTTGAGGGCCCCGATGTCGCGCAAAGGCTTCCCTTTGTAGCATTGTTTGCACTCCAGTGCTCGGAGATGCACATCTCCACAAACTGGGGCGAAGACTGAGTCACTGTACTCACGCCCGCACACGAATCGGCCAGAGGACGATCCCGCCGGGAGGAGATGGACCGTCCTCGTATTGCGGCGCCTGTACATTAAGCACTCATTGACCTTCCTAGGCTGGAGCTCACCGGCACGATCCCCCGATGCTTGAACTTTCTCATCGATCGAAGCTTCAGAAGACGAATCACTGCTGGAGGAACCGCTCTCGCCTCCGCTGCAATCTGCCGGCTCCTCGATTGGACCCTCCCCAAGATTGTCCTCAGAGAAAGGCGCTGCCTCGGCATACCAAGCCCTCTCACTAAGCCAAGCTTCTGCCGCCTCTTCTGTATCAAGAGGCTCGCTGTGGGGGCAAGGCGAAGGAAAGAATGCATCATCAGGCTGCTCGGGCAAAACTGCAGGGGGAGAAGGAGGGAAGGAGAAAGACGGCATGCAATCACTGTTGTCCACAGATGCCTCGCCGACTGCCTGAACTCCTTCAAGTGCACGAACTGCAGCTCCCGGTTCACTTACATGATCAGTGCTTGCAACCCTTGCCTGGGACACGAATCGTCCGGACCGAGTGGCGTCCGGAAGAAAAACCCCTTGCCTGACATCTCTCAAGAGAGCCTCGAACTGCCTGACAGGAGCGGCTTGAGTGTCTCTGGCATAGGTCAGAGCCGAATTTCGGCCCACCAAGACATGGTGCCCCAAGATCGTCTGAGTATCGAGATCCGTGCCAGCCTTCCCTAACCAGGACAGGTGCGTCGCCTTGGCTGAATGCCCTGTCACCCTCTCACCCGAGTAGCCCGGCAGAGCGGATAGGATGTCCTGCAGCCACTGGGCAAAGCTGTCCGTCTCGGCTGACACATTGGAAAAGCCCCCTTGGGTGTTGGGGAGGTAAAGCAGCGGCTCACCACTCTTGAGCTCTGACAGATCTCTGCCGCACTCCCTAGC